CTGTGACTTACCCGCTTGAAACGTCGCTGAAAATCCACCTTCCTGGACCGAACTATCAGAGACAAACTCCATAGTCATTGTGTTAGACGTTGAGCTTACAGTTTTTGGTAGATCGCGACCACATAGCGTAATGAGTAACGCCTCATTTTTGGAGGGCCCGTTGAAAATTTTAACGTAATCGGCATCGCATTGTACATAACCTTCAAGCTGTGGAATAGTAAATTAGATATAATCTGTTATATTTGCGTAGGTGAGTCAAGGGTGAGTGTGCTGTCACTATTTATAGACAAACAAAGATATGTCGATCCCGAACGCAGAATGAAATTTCTTTATCCTGTTGTGATATTTTGTCGAGATTTTTTTCAGCGTCGGCTTTGTATATGTATTAAGCTGGGCGCCAAGCATCGTTTACACAGCTACCATGGTTACATCGATTAACCGGTCATTTTATATTCCGTATCCAAATTGGAATGTGTATGTGGAAGTAACCCATAGGTTGTCTTGGTCAGGCATATATTTATTTCCCCTTAAAGCTAATGTACCATTCATTGAGTATTTTCAGAAGATTTTGAGACATAACTAAAGCCTTATAACACTTGTACGTAAATTGTTGACTTACGTTGAAGGAAGTGAAACTGAGCGTGATGGTTGATCCAACAGGAACTGTTATCTCCCAAAGGCAGCGCGTGTTCGCCGAGTAAGCCTGTGGATAATTGGGACTGGTAATGGTCCCAAATGTTCCTCTAACTTGGCTACCACATATTACTTATTTGCAAAGAAAAAGAAAAAGGAATTTCGACGTTGTCGTTTTATGAAGGCTCATATAAGTCAATGACGTTGTACTGCTATACATTATCACAGTTATGTCATCGCGACACAGTACCACAATCATTTTTCACGCAGTAATATGTTTAGCCTAATGCGGGAAAATAAGAACACTGAATGCGTTATGTACTATCAAAGTCAAGTTATCATTTGCGATCCGATTCCTCAAACTAAACTACTCTACCAGTAATGAAGTCAAGGCTATAGGAGAAAATTACTATAGTAAATTTTAGAGCAGGCATAAAAGGCAGGACTTCTTGATTTCAGTAAATTCCATGACAATTTCTAAGCTGTATCTTGTCGCTGCATGAGGAAGACAAGGAGGAGACATAGAAAAATTGGGAATTTCACAGAATTCATGGCATAAAAGCAAGGACTAGGGTTCAATTTAAACAGTAATCGGTGAGGTTGCCTCTAGCGGTCTTTTTTGGTCCTTATGCATTATAGCTACCTACTTAACTTTTTAAGTAGGTTGAATTACCTGTACACTTC